TGTTCGTTTTAAAAAAAAATAAATTTGGAAAAATGTAAAAAAATTGCTCATACACAATTATGCATAATTTTATATATAATTATACATAAGTAATTTTTTTACATTTTTCCAAATTTATTTTTTTTTAAAACGAACAATGCGAAAATTATCCCTTTAATTATTTTTTATGTTTTCACATTACTGTTATTATTTTTATTACATTAAATAATTTTACAAAAGAAAGAGGAATGTATGGACATATTTCATATATGATTATACATGTTTGTGAATATTTATGTTTATACATGTTTATACATATTCACGCATGAAAAATTTGTTACGGATTTTAAAATAATTTAGCGCAATATAGTTTATAAACATTTTTAGGCTAAATATTTCATCGCATCGGCTTTCAATAAAAACTTATTACAGTATGCATTATAAATTATAATTTGTACTGCATTGCGTAAATAAATAATGATCGCTTGATACGTATGGGTATGACTATTTTCACATAAGCTTGCTTGAAAATAGCATCTAGTTCCGAAGCATTAACTCATTTAAATTGCACTCTGCATTAAATATAAAAATTGCAATTGCATTTACTTTGAGAACGATTTGTACGAAATTTAATGTACAATACTATGGCAAGTAGTTTTACTTTTTAATTCATGGAATTAATTTATAGACGTAAAGAAATCAGGTCAATGATCGAGCTAATTAAGATGTATAAGCTAAATACAATTGAAACATTTATTATGTGAAATCAAAAGTACGTTTCGTGACCACGGGTCACTTCTTCAGCAAATGAAAAACATTAATAATTTTAATAATGTCGCTAATTGTTGATTTAGGCAAAAACGCAAAAAATAATATATAGTTGCTAATATAATATTGTCATAACGTAAAACTTATTGTGCAAATCTTGAGCTCCTTGTGTGTAAAGTTAATGTTGTGTACATACTGATGATCTCGATGCAATTGTCTTTGGTCACATTAATTGTCAGTTTTCTCAATAAATTGGTCATCGAAGCTTCGTTATTAAGCGAACATCAGGTGACAATAGGAGTCAATGGTGTAATTTAACTTTGTAGCATCAAATCTGAGGAGTCAACGCAATCATTCCAGCTCCGTCAAACACACAAATTCGAATGAAAAATTTGATTTCACATAATAAATGTTTTAATTATATTTAACTTATATATCTTAATTGGCTCGATCATTGACCTGATTTCTTTACGTCTTGGTTTTGCGTAATACCAGCGAATTCTGTAGGGTAAGTGATCCAACAATGAATCATGTAAATTTCAGAGGCTTATATCTCTCTCAATTATTGAGTTGAAGATCTGAGTTTTGGCATACAGTTTATGAATTTAGTTGGCTGCATACTGTAAATAATAACTCTTAAGTTATTTTTTAAGTTTAGCCACAATTTCAATTATTTCAAAAAACGGGAAGTGATTCATTGTATACAAGGGGTGTGTACACACAATGAATTATGCTATTTTTAATAACGAACCGCATGTTTTATACTGCGAATTGTTGGGATTATTTTAGTTTTGCTATATTTTAACATGTTTATTTAGAAAATAGACAATTATAAGATGACAAGAATTCACAAGGCCGACCGCCACGTTTTTCTGCTAGATTCTTTCGTTTTAGGTGAAAACATGTCGAATAAGTACATTTTTATTAAGATTTTAAAAAATGTGTGAAATTTACAGAAAAAACTTACTTTACAACCCAAAATTTTTAAAATGTGATATTACATGGATATTCCTTGGCTCAATTTGCCAGCCGACTGGGGAGCCGAGGAGGGGTTCAAATGCAAGTCGCTGCATGATAACAGCGCAATCTGGTAACGTCGCAATGGTTCACAGTATACTACTGGTTCACTGTTGGACCACCTACCCTACTTTTAATTTATAGAATTAATTCGATGAAATTTTTGCGACAGTATTGTTCTAAACTACAAGTCGTACCTATCGCCCGAATTTTTGTCTAAATGCGACTGTCTCACTTGAGATACATAAAACCACAGAATCAAATAGTCGCATCTAGCACTGAATATGAGATCACGATCATTATACATTAAATCAGGGGCCTTTTCATCTCAGGAATGAAGCGATAAAAAAAAAGATAGAATAAGCTTCGCACGCTTGCCTGCATGACGACGCTTGCCTTCTGTTTTTCTTTTTGCAAAGAATCACTAGCCCGAGCTGTGCCTGACTTCCCTAGCCGCCACCGAACGGCTGCAGCAGCAGCGGTGGCGCGATGGGTGCCGGTGCCATCGGTGAGGACAATTACGGCCTAAATCTGTCAGTGGAAGACGATGTCGATCAGGAATCAGAGAATGAGGATTGCTCGTTGCCGGAGCTGAGCATGGACCAGTTACTGGGTAGCAGCGGTAGTTTGGGCTCGTTGCGCTGTTTCCTGGGCAGGAGACGGCTGGAGCCGCTACCGGAAGAGGAGGATTCGCCTGGCAGCGGTAAGCACCAGGTCGGATGGTGGTGACAGCGGTTTCAAGCGACGTCCAAGTTGACCGTCGGTGCGAATGCGGACGAGCGCGACCGCGTCTTCGCTAAGCTGAATCAGGAGGATGAGGAGTTCCGTCGGAAGATCGTCGATTTGCATCGCAAGCTGTCAGACGTGGACGCAACGTCAGAAACGGCTGGTTCACCCAATTCAAAGAGTTCCAAGGAAGCTGAACGTCTGAAAGAGCTGGAAGCCGTCGCGAGAAGAGCGGAGGAGACCAATTCTCGCAACGTCGAGGAGATGAACGCCGAGAAGAGGCGGGAAGCAATGCGGAGAGAAGACTCCGCCGAGGCGAGCGACAAAAGAAGACACAGAAGTAGAAGGACCGATCAGCTAAGGAGGTCAAGGAGGTTCGAAGAAGAGTTTGACGATCAGAATGGGAGAGGGAGTCCGTCCAGCACTGGCGAGACAAATTTTCTGAATAGACTGAGGCTAAAGAGACGGAGCATGAAGCTACTGAGTTTCTTGAGCGGAAAAGCAGCGGACAGATCGCAAGAGGAGAGGGCAGCGCGACTACTGAGGATGTACATGCCGGAAAAGGGCGGCGCCAGGTCGACGCAGAACACAATCTCGATTCATCATACGTCAAGGGACAGGCGGTTCTGGAAATTGCGCAATCGGAGACGAACCAGTTCCGCGTAAACTCATAAGAGTCGTCATGTGGGTGATGCTTTACTCGTGCGTCACGCTCGTTGCTGTCGAGTATACAAAAGAGATCATGTCGCTCTATGCGAAAAAATGAAGGCTATCGAGAGTATCGTATTTTGCAATGAGATCGTTATGAGATAACTATTTAGCATCAAAATTGCAAATAAAATATAACATTAACAGTTATCTTGATACAAAACGTTAAATTCATAAGTCGCGTGTTAGTTTAAAGAAATATTAGATAATATATTAAAAAATGTATTAGTTATACTGAAGTATATAATAATTACTGTGATAGCATAGAGGACGATTAGAATTGATTACAAATACATTTGAAGATGACACTGGAAGGAATTAATAAGATTTGACACACGAGTAAACCGTCGCTCAGGAAATCATATATTGAAACGAAAAGAGATCGCGATGAACGGGGAAAATCGAAAGGGAACGGCAATCATTATCTCTCCGTTACTAGGACTTCCAAAACATTCGTGTTTACCGAGACTTTTTGAATTCTGCTCGAGCATGTACGAGGCCGAAGTTGTTTTCATAGAGTGGTAGTAGTGATTACGAATAGCTGACATTAGGTTTAACTGCAGTTTCAATCTAGTTCACTTCTTAGTACCGCAAGGGAATAAAAGTTACAGTTGGTCCTCTATCAGTGACGACGGAAACGTAACTCCAGGATTAGTCGAGTACAGTTTCAGAACCGCGCTATTAGTAAGCTTGCTAAACCTCGCGAGGACAGGACGTCCTCTGGGCCTAGCGGATCGTTTCCGGATCATTTGAGCTGATCGGTGGTTTGAGTTGGAATCAGCGAGTTTCGCTCGTGAATGTAGACCTCTGAATTTCGACTCTTTTTTTGGAACACTGTATCTAAGTAGGTCCGCACGACTGACCCAAAGCGGCATTTATCTTCCACTTATACTAGGTGTCCCGCAACAAGCTGCTGATATCTTACGCAAGGTTGAGGCTACTTTATGTCAAGGAGATAAATAAATACGAATTATTCTGAGCGGCTGTAATATAATGATATTAAATTTAATTTAATAAATTAAAATATATTAAATTTAAGTTTATTATTATATGACAGTCGTTATTATTATGCAATAACGATCTGATGATGAGTCCTAAATTTAATTCTAACTTAATTGAACGTAAGATTATATATTGTAAATCGGAAGCTAATATTTATATTTGAACGTTTTGACTAAAAGTGAATCGAAAAACCTATGATTAAGATAATGAAATCTTATTGCAGGGCATCTTATAGATCTTGCTCCTGGTCTGCGAAGAGTTCCACAAATTCATTGGATGCATATACTATCTATAGATTTTAAATCTCATATGTATTTTAGCGAGAGTTTATCGAAGAGACATCAACTTAATTTAACATTAATTTTCAGTATTAAATATATTTCATGAATTAAGTTTTGGAATCAATTTAATAAAGTTAAGATTGAAATGAATTGAAAAATTTTATGCAACCTAAGAATGTGGGACGCTTTAAACAGACTAAGAATAAAAACACTAAAATTTTAACATTACTGTTAGTAGATTGTAAACTGGTCGATTGACCGCATATGAAAAATATAAATAAAACTATATTATTTGTTCAATCGTTTCCTTCGTATCTCTTAAAGTACAAAATTTGTCTTTCACATGAATATTATTTTCACATATTTTTCATACACATAACTGCTTCTAACTGTGTATTTCTTCTGACTATACTATACAGGGTATTTCGAAAGTTTTTTCTCAGGAAGGGAATTTCAACCGAGGATTACCAAAGGATTATTTTGAAGGTTCCTCCATTGATAGATTCATATCGATGACTTAACAAATATTTATTTTTCAGTATCTATTACATAAGATTTCCCTCTAACCATTTAAGCCTCAGTTTCTCTTGTATAATATCTCGATTCAGCTTTTTTACACTATTCATGAACTGTTCCACAGCTTCTTCACGAATAGGATCTACTTTTGGTACAACATAAAATGTGCCATTCTCGTGTAAATATGTGCCATTTAAATCGTCCGCGGTTGGCAATTTGTCGGGCAACTTTATGGGAACGATCTTTACCAAATGCTTCACCCTCCAGAGCATAGCACACATCTGTGGCGTGTTTTTTACGATCACTGGATTATCTCCGTGTTTCTGTAAGACGATTAAGCGAATAAAGAGTTTGTCAAACACTATTCTACGCTTTATGCATACAACTTTGGCTACCTTAGCTTCAAAACCTAAATTTTCGAGCATCTCTTTCTCCCACCATGGATTACCCGCAAAAGGCTTTACCCGTCTTACTAATAACAGCTTGCTTGGCTCAAATGGTGGATCAACATGATCTGGACGTCTACAAATGTAATTTTGAGTACCCAAACCAGGAGTAGCAATTGTGAGATTTACTAATTGAAAGATGTCATAATTCTTTCGAAATTCAAAATATATTTTCCTCAGTATTTAACGATTTGTCAGAATTCAATGTTTAAAGGAAAATACCTTTGAAGCTTTAAATTTTGACAAATTATTAAATACTGTTTTTGTCTTGTTTATCTTTAGTTACATAAAAATGAAAGAAATTGTTTTGAACATCAAAAGTTCAAAAATGTTTTAATTTAAAAAATGTAAAAAATAAATTTATAATTCAAAGGACTTACAATTTAAAAAACTGATCATTTCTTCGTGATAAATATATTGTCTTTTATTGTAACTCATGAAAAGCGGAATTTCGAAAAAATTAGAATATAGATATGATGTAATATAACCTCACGTACTTTGGAAAATATGTAACATGTTCATATTTTACCCCTTCGAATTTACCCTGCGCATTTCTCCATCTAATTTTTCGTTTCATAAAGGAGGCATGACGTACAAGATTTAAGAAAATAGGTGCACCAGTCAGTTTAATTGTCATGTTGCAGCTAAAAATTAAATTTCGTAAGTCTTGAGTATCTATGTATAGGTTAGAGCTAATTTGGAGTATGTAAAAGTCAATAACACTGCCTCGTATATTGTTCCTATCATGATTCAAATAATTACAACAATCTCAAATTTGTTTACTTACGTAAACATTGCCCTTTTTGTACTTGCGTCTATTTATTACAAGTAATATCACACAATCAACTGAATCAACACTCTCGACTCATATCAACTTTTTGATAAATACGTATAACTGCTGTGTGGCGCCAGCTAGTGAAGATAAAGGAAAAACCAGTACAGAAATCTCATGAATGAGCAATACCTAACAACAGTACCTTCCTGCACTGAATTCATCTTTACCGACCAAAGAATTAGGAAATCCAGAATTGTGGATGATGCTTGAAACGCAATAATTATAGTGGATACAAAATGTGTATGCATGAAGAATTCTGTGATCAATCTCGAAATGACAAAGTCTTATTTTCTCCGTTTGTTTTTAAGCAATCTTATTTTAATGAAAATATTTAATATAGGGTTACTTGGTAATTTTTAACTGTCAGGACATTTTTTAAAATAAGAAATTACGTAAAAATATACGTTAAATACAAATAAAAAAAATATGATGCAAAAAGATTACAATTTGATAGATTTTTGCCATTAGTTATTTTTTTGTATTGTTTTATGTGATATTTAATTTATTCATATTAAGTTTAAATTTCCTTAATTAAATATTATTTAAAAAATCGATATTTATCTTGGTTTAAGTTTTAAGATGTTGGGAAGCAAATATGTACCAGAAGTAAAATAATATAATTAGCAACAAATACATGATAAAAGAAATAAATTTTTGATATTTGACTTTCTTGTGAGAATTTACGATCGCCTAAAATTACTCTAAAATCTTATAATCACTGTATATATTATATATATATATATATATATATAA